CCTAAAAGAGGTTTTATGGTCTTATTTATTTGTGTTATTTCGGGTTTGAATCAACTATGTTCAACTTTCTCATTATACAAACCAAGTCATCAACTCATAATGCAAAACAGGAATATCGTGCTCAATAGAGATCAAGTTTCACATCAACAAGTGTCAACTAACTCAACATATAATTCTTCCACGGTTCTTAGTTAATTACACAGTTCCAATATATACATCATTACCAGCAAGGCCATCCAACCCACACAAAAGTTAAATTTTTTTATTTTTATTTTTTAATAAAAACACACCAATCATGCGAAAAGAAGTAAACCACATGCAAGCGATGAAGATAACAGATTAAACCACCCCCAAACTTAATAGGTGCATTGTCCTCAATGTACCACAATAGGGAATTAAATGCAAAAGTAAGGGTGTGAAAGGAACTGAGAACTCCCCTGATCAATCAGAAGGTGGATGTAGAGGTAGACGGGAAATCAAAGTAGACTACTAGCCCATCTCGATTTGCATGTGATGAACCATGTCGTATATCTGATAAGCCCGAAATTGCGTGTCATCCATCATTCCAGTATAACGGTCCAACCTCCCAATTATCCTATCAGTACATCAGTGTAAATTAGAGACATCTTCTTGAGTCCTGCTCGCGCTAGTTCGTACAATCCCAATGTCAGTTTGCATATCTAGTACCCGTAAATCAAAGGTTGTAAATGCCTGCTGCAACTGTTAAACATCCCTACTCAACTCGATCATCGTCGCAAACATCTGTCGCAGTACGGGAGTGTCAACTGGCGGCTCATGTTGCGGGGCTGGGTGAATGTCAACGTCATCCCCATGGCCCGCCTCGTCTTGGTTATCCTTTCTTCCCTATCTGTATTGATTGACTTTTCTCCAAGGGTTTTGGGCCGAGAAAATGTTGATTGGGGCAGCAGGATGCATTGCCTGCTCAGTTGGTAGGAGCTGCACCCCGTAAACCCTGCATATTCCACAGATAAGGCTTGGAAATATGAGTGTGTGTCATGGGTCTTCTTCAAGAGCGCAGGCACAAATCAAATTATAGATATAAGTGCCCAAGTCAAATTTGAGCCCTCTAGCTAGATGGTAGAGCAAAGCAACTTTAGTGTGATCGAACTTGTAACGATGCTTGGAGGGATCTACATTGTGGCAAATAAACATCATAGAACCATGAGGGACTCAGTCAAATCACTGTATAAGGAATCCGTCAACAGAACGACCAGGCATCTGCTCTTCCATATAAAACATGTGCTAACTCTAGCCAATTCTGCTCTGGTGGTATCGAGATGATTTCCTCTCGATTCAATTCAAGATATTTATCAATGACATCAGGTGTGAACATAAACCATTTATCCCGTACCCAGGTTCGATGCTGGTGATTGGTCCTAGGCTCGTCGATAGAAAAGTTAAAATTTATGTAGAACTCTTGAACAAGTGTAGTATAAATAGCAAATAGTTATCACCTTTTCCCAGCCCGCACAGTGAATTAATGTCTCAATTTCAAAACCCGAGAAAATGTCCAAAACCACTTCCCGCTCGAGTAGTCCATTTTGTGACTACTTGCTCAAATCGAAGCTATGCTCTGGGCTTAGAAATCTTCGCAAGCCACCTTCATTAATTACCCCCCCTTCATTTTGTTCATTACAAATTGAACTTTTATCGTCTCTGTTCTTGTCTTCCATAATTAATATATCCTCGGGTCGAATGGCTGGTTCACAATCTACATCTAGGGGCAATGGAAACTCTTTTCTTTCAAACTTCTCGAGTGGATTATACCCCCACCTTTTAAATTCAATCCAGAATATGCCATCTCCCACTCACATTTTACTTTCTTCTAACTTGGCAACATCAATGTAGTATTTTGCAAGTCCTTCCTCATTCAACATGGAAGGACCAACTCCCACAAGCGTGTCTGAAGGGATACACTCGCCCACAAACATGTAGTCTTCATTAGCATTCTTCGACATTGCAAATATTGTTGAAACCGCAGGAGCTTGAGCCTTCCTGGTTCGGTGCATGTATACAAGCAGTAGTCAGTATAATGCACTCCATAGCAGAACTCACAATATATATCTTCATCCTCACCATCCATGTCGAGATTAATCATTGCAAAAATAATTCTACTATGTCAGCGTCAGAATCTTGCATATGCTACTGAACAGCACCTGGAATAAAATATTAAATAAGAGAGATCAGGATGGGTAGCCAAATTCAACAAAATACAAAAAATAATAAGAAGAATAAAGTAGAAAAATCAAATCTAATATAAACTATTAAACTAAAATTAAATCCATTTTTCCCCGACAACGGTGTCAAAAATTTGTTCGTCAAAATTCCGCAAGTGTACGGGTTCGTTGTACAAGTAATAATTGTGATGAAAGAGTTATCATCCCACAGGAAATAAGGTCTAATTCTAATATATTCGATATAATTAGATTCGTTTGATTAACTAAAAGTTGATTTTCGTTTAAATAGCTAAATAAGTTCTATAATTAAAAATTGCAAAATTAATGAGAATTTGTTTTAGAATTCATATGAGTGAATGTATTGGATTTTCGATGTCACTGATCAACTCTTAGTTCTAATTCTCAACCTATAACAATTATATCAACTCATGCAATTGTGATAATCGATGATTCCATTTTTATTTATTATTCTTTCCCAAGATATAATAAACCTATGATTACTACAAGACGATCATATTCCTAGTCCGAATTCATATGGCAAACACGCACTGATGTATAGGATTATCACACATAATCGCACACGTCACAAATATTATTTCTAACATTCATTGTCCATGCCTTTCAATAACAGTGTTCTACCTACCGTGAGTTTTTCAACACTACAAATAAGCAACTTATTGTCTTAATGGTGCGCAAACATTAAAAACAATATAGATATGCATATTAAAGAAACCACAACACGAGAATTAAGATAAAAACATAAGGTCTTGAATTAAAAACTAAGAATCAATCAGTTTTGTCATCTATCCAATACAAAGATATTTAGCCTAACATATTAATGTATGAAATACAGGAAAAATAAAAGAACGACATCACCCAAATCATTAAAGTATGAAAAGGATCTGAAATCCTTCACTTTATGCCTTCAATTGAATCCAAGTGATGAAGTCTTGTTCTTCAATGTATATCTCTCTCTTTCTCCTCTTTGTCGACTTGCAAGATGTTAGAAAATTAGGTCCTCCGTGTTTTAGCCGACTCTTGGTATAAATATGGTGCCAAAAACTTCAAACCAAAACTTTCCAAAACAAAATAAGGAAACATAATTTATTTATTTTTTTGTCAGAGTTGAACCATGCGTACACATGGTTCATTTGGTGTATAAGCATAATAGTCTCAATTGAGCTTCGAAAATTTAATTTCCCAACCGTGCGTACGCAAGGTCTACAGGCCCATGCATACACATAGTTCAATTTATTTTAGGGGCCAATTTGCAATTTGGTCCCTGAACTTTCTGAAATGTGTGTTTTGGTCATTTTTCAAAATTTCTTGTCTCATTAGTTTCTCTTCAATTCCAATTGACTCTTGGTGTTCTTAACTCATCGTTCTTCAATCCAATTCAACTGGATTATTGCATTCTAGTCCCCAACTTTGCCCTTGATGTAATTGAGTCATTTTTTCCTCTTATTTTCTATATTCTCGTATCTTCTGTTGATTATAACCTACACACAATATATACATAGGATTAAGCCATATTTCATCCAGTTCATCAACAAATACTCAGTTTTAACAGGCTAAATAAGTGTATAAAATACACTTATCAGTATACGTTTTGAAGATAAAAGAGAAATTGAAAAATCTGTAAAGCTGTAATAATTGCAATGATAACAGACCAATATGTTAAATTGAATTTTCAAAATTTTAATTCAACGTGAGATAATTCATTTCTTGTTTGGTTGAGAACAATTATGAAGGGTTACTATTGGAGTGGAATTTGAAAAGACAAAAAGACTTTCTTTTTTTTTTTTTTGTTAAGAAAAGAAAATGCATGTTTGGAAGATAAATTGTTAAATTACTTAGAGAGAGTAATGTTTGTGATATATTTATATGATAAATAAATGTAAATGATAAGTTTTATGCCATTTATGGTTTCTTGTGTTTGCATATTGATAATTCTATCCAAAGAATTTCATAAATATAACTTTTGTTTTTCTTCAACCAATTAACATTACGTAATTTGGGGCCCCTTCAAAGTGAGGCCTTAGGTGATCGTCTATCTCGCCTATAGTCAAGGCCGCCACTGCTAACCACCTATTTAATTCAAATGATTTTATTTTCTGCTTCATTTTTTTTTTCCAAAATTCAAGAATCAAATTTAGTAATTTTTGCTGAAAATATGCTACTTTGAAACATGAAACATGGGCTAAATAAATAAAACTAGAAGCTCACAATTGAAAAATAAAAATAAAGTTTCTTAAAAGAAAAATGAGACATCAACGAGTTAATTGTTCCAATGGTCATTGAACTTAAGTCTGTATCTTTGATTAGTCACTAAAGTTTAAAATATCGAGTTTTGACCACTGAACTTAGGTCCATTTCTTTTATTGCTCATCGAAGTTTAAAATATCGAGTTTTGATCACTGAACTTTAAAAAATGTTATACATTAATCACCGAACTTTGAAAAATATTGTGCATTACTAACTGAAATTTGAAAAATATTATACATTACTTACTATAAATTTGGTATTTTTCAAAATTCAACAGTTATGTTAGTGAGTAATGGACGACGTATTCCAAAGTTCAATAGCCAAAACTCGATATTTTAAATTTCAGTGAGCAATCTAAAATATGGACCTAAGTTCAATGATCAATCAAAGATATTTACCTAAGTTTAATTATCAAAACTTTACATTTTAAACTTTAGTGACCAATCAAATATATAGATCTAAGTTCAGTGACTATTGAAACAATTAACTACACGTCAACCTAAAACAAAATCATTTACAAATGCGACTTTCTAATAGAAATCTAAAAACTAAAACCCCCAAATTCAATTGATGGATCTGCGACATTCGTTGGAGTGAAGACGGCTCCAGAAGAACAAAACTAAAACCCTAGTTCCTCCGTCCGACGCGCCACTTCAATCACTACAACTTCCACCGCCGCGAACCATAGGTAATGCCACTACTATTCTTCACTAACTCAATCTCTCATTTGTTTTTGATCTGTATCGCACTGTCTGTGACGACATTATATTTGTCTTATTTCTTTCTCCTTTATGGTTCTGAATATTGAAGGTATATTCGAAACCGGAGTATACGTATATCTACACGTATATGGCTTATTTACACTACGGTAAAAGTATCCTTCGCCAGAGCTTAGGGGGAGGGCTGCAACACCCACTGTTATACGCTGCCCAGGGAGTTCGATATAGAAAGCTTGAAGTAATTCTCACAACGGTTGGTAATTAAGTTCTCAACTTTTCAGCTTTATATGATTGAAATCCATTGGCTTTCAAACTGCTTACTATTGGTCTTATTTTTATTTTTCGGTAATTAATTTTCATCTCAATTATACACTTTGTAAGTCCATCTTGACGGTAGGCCTCTTGCAATCTGTATAAGAACCTCGTTTCACCATGAAATATGGACAATGACACCGTAATTACTGCATCCAGTGAAATTTTTCCCTAAAGATACTCAAGTAATGTAACATCTGATATCAGATTCAACTAGGAGGAGAAAAATTTATGAACAATAGGGATACTGACTTTTTTTCATGTCTTTGAGTGAGCCCCTTAATCTGTCTAGGGTTGGCAACCTATTCCGGCAGACCATTCACATTGTCAATGAGAACTTAAAAAACTTCTTTAAAGCCTTATTAGTTTCCACTAAAAAACAATATTTGCCTGTTTTCTTCATATGCAACTACAGAAATATTAATTTTAAGTTTTCTAGAGAGAGACACTACCCAAAGGATGCCATTTTCAACCTCAGAATTAATCGACAAGTGGGTGGGGTTTCATCTAAATACCTCTGAACCTTTTATATAACTCATCTACCATGTGGTCTTTTCAACAACCCATTGCCAATAATATAAGAGTATCTATTTTTTGAATTTGAAACTGTATTGTAATGTCAACACCAGCGTCCTCGAGGGGTACCAGTTATCATATCACAAATTTGTATTCCTGCTGTCGCCAATAACATGCTTTAGAGCTGGGCGTGCATCATTCTATTTCAGTAGCTTTCTCCAGTTCTACTACAATGTTTTGGTCTTATTTTTATTACTTTTAACATCTAGACTATAGATAAGCTTGGAAAAGCTGGTGAAACAGTCAAGGTGGCACCAGGTTATTTTCGAAACCATTTGATGCCGAAGTTGCTTGCTGTCCCAAACATTGATAAGTTCGCACATCTCATTAGTGAGCAGCGCAAGGTATTCAAGTTGTCATTTGCTTGTCTATTTTATTTTTATTTTTGAATCAATTCATCAGTGTGCATAAGTTCTTCTGATCAGCATTTTGGTTGCACATGATTGTGTAAAAATCGGAATATGTCATGCGGTTGATTATTGAATTTTGGGATCAGAAACTCCAGGTTACTGATGCTGATATATATAAATATGAAAGGATTGGGTTGCATGAATATGGTTACAGAAGTTTGTCTTCTTGTCAATGTAAGCATATTTATGGTTTGCTGCTACAAGTGGAGTAACCTCTTCAACAAATGCTTCTCAAAACATCAAGCAAAATTGCCGTACTTTATCCACTTTTCACGCGCTCTCTTCTGGACTATGTTACACACATAATGCAGCGAAAGGAGCATGTAAAGCTGAGAGAAAAGATTACTGAAAGATGAATACACATGCGCTAGCTTGCTTTCCTTGTGTCACTTGAATATCCCTTTTCGCTCTTTGAATTTTGCATTATCTATATATTCTCCACAACTTCTACTACCAAATGTAATGTTTTCTGGTATTTTTAATGTGTGTCTTCACATATTATAGAGTTCAGAAATCCATCAGGTTGACTACAAGCTTAAATTCAATGGATATCAATTACATATTTTTTATGTGATCTCTATTCGTAATTGTGGTGTCAGATGTACCAGCCTAAGGACGTTGAAGAGGTTAAAGAAGTTTCAAAGACAGAGGAAGACCGGATAAAAGAATATCAGTCAGCAGCGAATCGCCTTGATAGTGCAAGGCTGGTCAGTATTTCAAAGTTGATACTATATGCAGCCAATATGAATTTTGAGAGTTTTTGATGAATGTGAAGTTTTCTCAGATTTCTTGTTGCTAGTTTTCTTTCTTTTCTTTTTCTCTATTAAGATAATTCGTGCAAGATCATGAATTTATTTAAGATCAAGTTTATGTTTTGTTATCTATCATTTTGATTCTCTATTTACTATCTAAATTCCCAGAAAAACCTCTTCTTGTTAGCCATCATGATTTCCATTGAAGGAATTGTCTTTTATTTTAATCACCTGACATGTATATTTCTTGCAATGGTGTTCTTGCATGCTAAAATCCTGTGATCAGTGTTTTCAAACTACCTTTTTTTTTCTTTTTTCGTGTGTGTGTGTGTGTGTGGGTCATGACACGTATTTATGGCATTGAAGCTGCAACTAAAACTGACTACCAAAGAATGTTCAACATTTTCTTTCATGGAGTTCATTTACATTCTTTATATTCCAAGGCTACCTGATATAGGTTGGAAGTATCTCATCAATTTGTTGGAAATATTATGGGAAGGCAGTCTTATGGCACTAGCCGACTTTTTATTATCTATGATGTTTCATTGTTCATTTTACCAGTCTTTTTCTGAAGATCTCGTACTTGAATCTTTGTTTCATTTGAGACAGATTTCATCGGCACTATGAATTAATTTAATGTTTCTGTTTCTTTTAGAATCTAAGAAGATTCATCATAGAGGGAAAGGGTAATGAAGTGCGTGATCCAGTGACAAAAGAAGAAATTTTGGCTGAGGTATGAACATGCTCTTTTATACTTCAAAAGAAGAGGCGTTACTTTGTTTTGATATTTGGTATCTCAACCCGACCTCTCTCATGTGATAATAAATCAGGTGGCTAGGCAGCTTCAAGTGCACATTGAACCAGAAAATTTGCAATTGCCAGCTCCTTTGTCTTCTTTAGGAGAGTATGAGTTGCCACTCCGCCTACCAAAGTCCATTCCGAAGCCGCAAGGTAAAGTTCAATGGACTCTTAGCGTCAAAATTAGGAAGCGGTGAATGGACATTTTCCATTGAACGATTTACTCTTTTTTTTTTTAAAGAACTCTAGGAAGAATAATTATAGCAGAGAAGTTAGATGAGTTGGGTTTGAACATATTGATCATGCGAACTTCATCTTAATTTTGTATCTTTGACCATTGAATTTTCTGTCTCGTTTATTTAAAGAAAGTATTGAAATTGTTGCAGTATATTGTGCCAAAAACTTGAATATAAAATAGATTCTTGCTGATATTAGTGCCCGAATCTGTCCTTTCCATGCATTTTCTGATTATGAATCTTGTCTCGTCCACCATTGTAAGTTGTGGGCCTTAGAGCATGTTTTGCTAAACTTGTTCAAAAACTAGGTTGCAGATTTGTTGACAAAATATGAGATGTTAGTTTTTTGGTTCTTGATTTGAATGAATGAAAATAAAATTAAGGGCAAAAAAATTGCCACCTCATTCCTGTCAAAAATTTTGTACACGTAGCGGGTTAATAGCCCAAATGATCACTGAACTTTGCAAAAAGTTTTTAAAAGATTACTGAACTTTAAAAATCACCCAAGTGATCACTAAAATTTGAAAAAGGTTTTCACGGAATCATTAAACCTTAAAAATTATCTCAATCATCACTAAATTTTGTAAAAGGTTTTCATAGGGTCGCTGAACTTTGTAAAAGGTTTACCAGGCATCACTGAATTAGTGATTCTTTAGGAAGTTTTTTGTAAAGTTTAGTGATAAATAAGATGATTTATAAAATTTAGTGATCCGTATAAACCTTTTGCAAAGTTCAGTGATCTCTTAAAGACTTTTTGCAAAAGTTAGTGATGATTTGAGTAATTTTTAAAGTTCAGTATTTCCGTGAAAATTTTTTGCAAAGTTCAATAACCATTTGGGTTATTAACTCTACATGTAGTAGTTCTCAACATGACTCATTTAAATTTTTCTGAAAAATTTAAATTCTATAAAGTTGGTTGCGTGACAATTTAACAAAAAGTTGAACGATAATGTTTGAAGACATATTATGCAACTATGAAGAGAGAGAATAAAAATAATCAGCCATTGAAAATGATAATGTTGAAGAAGTCCCATTGAAAGTGAATATGATTAGCTACGCGTATGTTGGGGCCTTTTTGATGTGGGGTCCTTGCAGGTAAACGAATTATTTAGAGCATGTTTGGTATAGATTAAAATTCAATTAAAATCAATTTTTTTACCATTATTTCACTATTTCAGTTGCTATTTTTGAATTCTTTTCTCACAATTAAGATTCACTTTATCTCTAACGATCAAAAAATTCATTAACAAAATTCCTACTAAACAAGCACTTAATTTTTGTTACTTAAAGTCAAATTATAATTAGATTAATATGACTTTGTCTCTCCATTTTGCAAAATTTCTCTCTTGAGGCCTCCCTCAGTTTCCCCTTCCTTTCCCAAACGCCAGTTATGACTTTTGACTATCGGCTGCCCAACCAAAGCCGACCGTTTTCAGTTCTCCGCTCATTGTCAGATATTATTTTCTAAGTTGCATTTTTTATTAATAAAAATTACTTTCTTAGAAGGTGAATTTTAATTTATTACTAAAATGATAATTATTTATATCTTAATAGTCAATTTTATTGAAGTGATTTTCTATATAATAATATTAAACTTAGCGAGTTTATAAAAGGTAGGATCATGAATTTCATATGCTAAGCTCTTGTAGTAAAGTTTTTGTAAACTGATCAAATTTTATTTTTAATCATACAACATAATCCATCCAATTTATATAAACTAAAAAAATTGTCAAACAGAATTATAGATGTAAATAATTTTTAGTTTTGACCTTTCGAAGCAAAAAATTCAGCGCCTTGGGGCTTTTCGACTTTTTGTTTAAACAATCAATAAAGTCTGTTCCCGTTTGAGCTTCATCCTCCAAAAAATACATTATTATTTTTTTATTATTTTTAATAAAATAATATTAAATGCAGATTTAAAATTTTTCCTTTTTTTTATGAATTTTGTTATTTGTACATGAATTTTTTTACACTTTGGTTGACATTTACATTGTTTTCAAGTGTCAGTTGGATGAAAAACTATTCAAAAATAACAAAATGTATAGTTTAAGTATAAAAATATAAACTTTAATTTTATTTATAATAATATTATAATTTATTATTGTAATACTAATTTCATAAAATGTGTGTGTGTTTTTTTTTTTTTTAAAGAAAAAACCTACCTAAGATATTGCCGCGTTGAACTGCTTCAATGATTAGACAAATTATCAGCTTTTCACCTATTAAAAAAACAAATAATTATCAAACAAAAATTAGCACATGTTACCTGTGCGTGTGTGTGTATATATATATATAAATACTCTCCCTCGTTCTTTCTCCTACATTCTGGAGTCTTGAAATTTTCAATTTATAGAACACAACTCACCAGCCTGTTCTGTTCTCTCTAAAATTCAGAAAAAACGCGAAAAATGCCGTTCTGTAACGTAAGTTCGTACCAGAACGGTGATGGAGACGAATTAAACATCAATGGAACTAATATTTTCTACAGAACTTACGGTCAAGGGCCGGTGAAAGTTCTTTTGATCATCGGTAAACCATTTTGATGTCATTTATTGTTTAATGGGTTTTCGATTGAATTTTTGTTTGGTCATGATCGGTGATGGTATTTTTTGATGAATGGTTAGGATTGGCTGGGACCCACGATTCTTGGGGTCCACAAATAAAGGGTCTAGCTGGAACGGTGATTCCGAACAACGATGAGTCGACGGCCAGTGATCGGAGCAACGAGAGTGACGAAGGTGATGGCGTTGAGGTCTGTGCGTTTGATAATCGGGGAATGGGTCGGAGCTCCGTTCCCACGAAAAAGTCAGAATATACGTGAGTTCCATTAAACTATAGGCTGCTTAATTTTGTAATTGGATTCTCATTATGGCTTAAATTGTCGTTATAATTGATGCTTTTTGTTTTTTTTGCAACACACACGTTTTGATTAAAAAGCGTAGCAACATTAATATTTACGACAAGAAATTGTTTATATTTGTTTTTTCCAATTTTGGATGCAAAACTGGTGGAGAAAACCTTTTGAGGCCAAAATAATTGATTTTAGCCTAAAAGAGATTCTTGAAAGTTGAACCTCTTCTACTGCCCGTTTGTCCGTGGCTTCAGACATGTTTGGATAATTTTTTAAAAGGACTTTGGTTGGCTAGAAGAATTTTAAAGGAACGTTTGGAAGAAAATTTGGTAGATGAAGCAAAAGCAAAAGCAAAAGCGAAAGCAAAGACCTGATAAAGGGTCCTACGACACAAATAATTTCGATATGTGGTGTTCACAGAAAGTAAGTTTTCCAACTTGACTGCGCCAATTCAACAAGAAGTAGGAGAAATTGACCTTGAGTGACTTGAAAGGGTTATGAACTGTCAAGAAATAATGAATGTTTCATAAATTTCAAGCGGAAAAAATTAACGAGACATTATTAAAGTTGACTTTGATTATTTTCAGCGAGTAGGCGTCATGTTTTGGTAAGATAAGTCAACTTGTTTGGCTTTGTAGCAGTTGACAGTTGTATTTCCTTGTAATTTCTTGTATTCGATATAAAATTAAGATTTTAATCGTTCTTGAAAGTTTTTTGATATATATATTATTTTTTATTTTTTATTTTTGGAGACAGGACGATAATCATGGCAAAAGACGCAATAGCTCTAATGGATCACTTAGGTTGGAAAAAAGCTCACGTCTTTGGTCATTCAATGGGTGAGTTTTGACTTTTTTTATTTTCATTTTGGATTTGTGGCTCATTTATTCCCTATGAACTTTTTCACTTATTTGAACTTAACGATATTACATCATGTTAAATGCTTACCTGCCTTCTTTTTTATGAAGCAGGAGCTATGATTACATGTAAACTGGGTGCCATGGTGCCCGATAGAGTTTTGTCTCTGGCTTTGTTGAATGTAACTGGTGGAGGTTATGAATGTATACCAAAGGTATTAATCCTTTCAGACGAAAATAGTAAAACTTGAACTTTACGGTTTAGAGATATTCTTCCAAATGAACACGAATGATTTTTCCTTTTTCTTTCCAGCTTGATCGTCATACCTTGTCGATTGCAATTCGCTTCTCGAGGGCAAAAAGTCCTGAGCAAAGGGCAACGGTTGATTTAGATACCCACTACTCACAGGGAAATAGTAAGCATAACTTTCGACGCTTATGTATTGTTAACTATGAATTTCCTTGCTGGTTTAAATTTTGCAGCAATATGTAAAAAGCATATCATCAACTGGTATGCAGTCAAAACATGTATTTGATGGTCAGATTAATGCATGCTGGACGCATAAAATGTCACGGACGGAACTTGAGTCGATCCGTGCTTCTGGGTTTCCCATATCCGTCATTCATGGCAGGTAGCCGTAGCTCAAAAATGCTACGTATTTTCCCCAATTTAGTAACTTGACCATACTAAGATTATGACCGAATATTTCTGATAATGTAGATATGACGTCATCGCCCAATTATGTCATGCGAAAAAGCTTGCAGAGAAATTGCATCCTTCAGCAAGAATGGTTGAACTTCACGGAGGGCATCTTGTGAGCCATGAGAGAACCAAAGAGGTAGTTACTGATCAATTGAAAAACTGCTCCTTATTATACCCCCCACTGTGGCATTAGTGCATTTTGTAAATAATTCAAGTACCAGAGTCAAGAGTGATTCTTAGTCATAGAGGTTTTCTTATGAAATAGCCCTATAAAAACTTAGCAAGTTGACAAATAAGTGCATATGGCCAAGCTTAAAAAGTTTACTGACAACTAAATAAACAAGATTCATAATAAAAAGTTAAATGTAAATTTTACTTCTTTTTAAGCTTAGGTCTAACATGCTTTTGTCCTTAACTCAACAGTAAGATACGATCAGAACTTGTGCGCTGGTTATGAAAATAATTGGTGGGAGATCTTCTCTTCTCAATTTTGCTTAACAACTTGTAGCAGATAATAGTCCACACAAAACTAATTGCAAATAGTTTTGTCAGAATTAATATACTGGAGAGGACTAGGACTATATAACAAAAAGAGACCAAATGTCTCTTTCTTGTCTACAACTATGATACTTAATATCATGGCAGATGTTCATTGATTATTTCAGAGTTCTTCTAAAACAAATGATGAACAATTGTGTTCTAGTTATGTTTGTCTTGTTTGATGCTTCCATGCTTTACAAAAAAGTAGTTAAAAATCATTTTTATTATAGTGTCCTATCCTATCTAGTACAAGTACCGGAGACACACTTACAGTGCAACACTAATTTATGGAAAAATTTATCGCATTAAACAACCATAAAATAAAAATGCTCGCAAAAAAATTTGTAACAGTGTGCAGCATTAGGATTGAATTTTATGCTTTCTATTTATTTCACAAACTCATTAGCCCTCCGATCTTGATGTTTGTTGGAATCGAGCGAGTCGCAACAGGCAATTAAAGATACTGCAAAACGTTACATGGATAAATTCTAGTTTTGCTTCATTAAATAGAGATTTATAGCTACTGCCAGGAAAAGGATAGTATTTCTGTCTGATTTCAACTTTTGACCTGAAGGGTCATATCCCTGTGAGCATTTTCTGCTCGTGCAATTTTTAGATTACTGTTGATACCACTCAAAACTCTAATTGTTATAAACCTTGTACTTGAATATGAAGAAACCTCAGGCTGCAAATTATATATAGCACCGATTGGATTATGGACTCGTGCAATTTAACAGATGATCATGATTATCGCAGGTTTTACACATTATTTAGAAAACAGGAAATATACACACACAAAAATTTATATTAATTTAGCTAATATATTTAAGATAATGGAATCAGTGATCTGCTATACCTAAGAATTGATACAGAATTAGAGAAATGAGTGGTATATATATTTTGAACGATGGAAATATCTCCTTGCCTTGTTTTTGTTGAAATCTCAGGTGAATGCAGCTCTTCTTGAGTTGATCAATGCATCAAAGAGTAAGATAAACCTAAACGAGTGGACGAATTTGCAGAAGAAAAGTAAAGGTCAGTATTAATTATACAAAGTGACTACCCAACAAAGCTTTATACCATGCTCGAGGAACAAAAATGATATTAACACCCATTAATTCTGAAATTCGAATACTTTTCTCAAAAAATCACAAAAAGTTTCTGACAGCTGGTTTTTTTTTTTTTTTTTTTTGTCAGTTTTTAAAGCTACCCGCATATCATTTTGCAAGACCGGCAATTTATCTTTCATGGTTGACACTGTAGAAAAGCTACGTGTTTTCCTATTGTACTTTTTCGGCCGCTTTGTATTGGCGTTTGAGCGTGCAAGAAGAGCTATGAGGAGTCTAAAACCCGTGAGAGTAGGATCTGCTCTCACACAAGTTTAACATTGTTCGAGCCTCCTCTCCTGGTAATTCGCTATATTTTCATTGCAGCTGCTAAAGTTACCGTCTGAGAAGTCATCAGCTTTTAGTTAACAGTTAACCTGGTTCAGTTTAATTTTTTTCAGAGAATTTTGTTCATTTTTTACGGCCTCTCAGTCGATGTGGCTCTCTTGTTACTAGAATTGATTGAAATTTGTGTATATCTGCTGCTGAAGAAAAATTAGTTGGTAAACAACATGGTCGGTTTTGAAGTCAAGACGATATTTAAACAATTGTATAGCTTCTTGATGTGCAACAGCACGAATTGAGGGCAATAGAGAGTTCAGTATAGAGGAGAAAGCTGCAGTTAGCTGACTATTGGAAGTTAAACAAACCTAAAAGCACGAGTCTTCTTGCTACTACTATCCGTTGTGTATTTCTGATTAATTTTTGTTCCAAATTATTTATTTTATGTTACCTTATTTATTAAATGCATGTTTGGTTTTGATTTTTAACCCCAAAAAATCAATATTTTGACCATTACTTCCTCAAGTCAGCCATTATTTTTACTTCTTCTATTACGTGGGATCCAGTCAAAAAATTAATTCTCATAATTACTACTGAATAAGCCCAATTCTTTAAGCCAATGAAAATGAGCAAGATTACAAAGTTTTTCTTTCTTGTGTTACTACTTTTCATCGCTATTCAATCTTTAGTGCCAAACATACTAAGAGCAAATACTAATTGTTGACTTGATTTGAAGTTACTAGATGAATAAAGGAGAAAACTTTTCCCTATTGAAAATTCAAACGAAAACAATATATATAATCTTAAAGAGTGTTAAAATACAAAATTCGGAAAACATATAAGAGCATGTTTCAAACTTGAAAAATTTTAATACGACTGTCTTCTTTAGTCTTGTTTCGTTTAACATTCATGAGGCTTCCCTTCGAAGGGGTTTTTGAAAAGTCTAAAATTGCTTTTGAGATTAAGAAACTGATTTTGAACGTGTGTAAATAGTTTTCAGGAAGTGTACAGGATTGCATACCAATTTTCCACTGACAGATGAGCGAGCTCAGGAGCTAGCAAAAGGAGAAATCCAACGTAATTTCATAATCCAGTTTTGCAGTTTCTCAGTTCATTTTTCATGAAAATAATTGTGTAGGAGAAAGCACACTTAGATCGACATTGAAGAAAGATGAATAAATTTGTGGCAAATTATAGCAGTTGCAGTAGGAAATATACCACAAGAATATTCTAATATGCTTCTCCAACAATTTCGCCCAAACTAACTTGTTTTCATTAGTTTGGTATAAATAAATAATTCCCTTTGATTTGATTAAGAATATGATTAAGCCATGGTTTGGTTTGATTAAAATCAAATTTACTCTCCTTTTCTTTTAGATTTTAATAAAATTTAATTAAATGTGCGATCAAAAAGTTGATAAAAATTGTGGATTTTATAAAAAGTGTAATTAAAAATGAGTTTGAAGAAAATAAAATGAACATATTGATCCTCCAATCCTTGAATACAATCTGGTTTATTTAAAAAAAAAAAATCAAAAGTCAAAAATTAAATTAAAATAGCCGTCCCCTAATAAGTAATTTAGCAATGTCATCCCAAACTCAACAATGAAAAGTGTCCCATTAAATTTTGGAGAAATTACAAAAATACACATAATCCTGATTAAAATCTAAGTCAAAATCAATAATTAATTTGAACTACGCATTTAATAGAATTCATAATTTTTCAACAATATATTTCATCAATTTTTATCAAATTTTGATAAAATTTAATTTTAATATCTACCAAATAGAGACTAAATTTAGATGTCAAAATCTAAAAGATTGATTTTTGACATTTCATTGAAATTTGCTCCTAGTTGTAATTTTCAGAGTCAACTTTCTAAAGAATTACAATAACTCTTGAGAAGTTACAATTAGGGAATGTTTGATAGCATTGGAAATTGAAAAAAGAAAAAAAAAAAAAAAAAGATGGAGTTGGAATTGGAAATTCCAACTTTTGGTGTTAGATACATTATATTTTCCATGGAATTGCATTTCTTGGATTTCTTGAAACTTGAAATTTTCCTTGTTTTGGTGGAATTTGACTTCTCACCATCCACCCTACTGTAGCGACTTTTTTTTTTTTTTTTTTTTTTTTGTTGGTAATGGAAACCAATCCTAAGAATTATTGTAAAAAAATATTTTTCTTTAATTGACAATTTCCATATAAAACAAAGCCAAACGAACATAAAAAAAAAAAAAAAACACTTTGATTTCAACATTTTTCACCCGGAAAATTATATCAATCAAACACAATAATTTACAATTCCCAGGAAAATAATTCTAGACAATTCAATTTTCTGAAATTCATTTTTTAAGCAATTCAATTTCATCTTTGCAATTAAACGGACCCTTAATGTAACTTTTTCTTACAAAAATAACTAAAGTGACAATAATTGTAATTTTTAGGCATATTTCTCAACTACGTTCGGGAAAATCGGATTTTTCAAATTTTCACCCACAAAATGTACTCTTAAAGTAGAATGCAAAGTTTAGACTAGTACAGCCCGACTCGAATTACTGGTAAGCTCTTTCATTTTAAAACTCCTAAATTTTAGCATAAATTTTCCATTATTATGCTTATATTTGTTTTCTTTATTGTATTTTTTTTTCTAATTTTATTTTTAACAAATATAAACTAATTAGAGTGTGTTTGATTCTCATTTTCCCCAAAAATACATTTTTCTTTCTTTTCTTTTCAACTACACATTCTTCAATAAAATAATATCACAAGTAAATTAAAAATTTTCCTTATTTTTTAACTACACAATCTCTATCAATCTACTATTTCAAAATGTACTTTTCTAATTTAATGGGGTTCAAACAAGTCCCAGATTTGAAAATGTTATTGTCTTTTTTATCTTTTTGTGCAGGTGATTTTATTTTTTTGAATTTCGATCTCATTAAAAAATAATTAAAATAGATCTTAAATATATACAACAAAATGAACTGAAAATAAATCCAAGCTACAAATTTTTAATGCTAGTTTTCTATTGATTTTGATTTAAATATAAGTTAAAATCAACAATTTATTTTAACCCCACATTTCATGATATCCATAACTTTCCGATCATATATTTCATCAATTTTTATCAAAATCTGTTGAAAAATCTGATTTTAATCTCCATCAAATAGTGGATTATTGTTAATGACAAAATAAATTTAATTTTATAATAATAATACAGTATATATGTCAATAGTATAAAACAAAGCAAAAAAATATATATATAGAAACTGCTATTAAATATAACAATATGAAATATTTAACGAATTTTCTATTAGCTTTATAAAATTATTTTAAAACTTCTACGTTATTATTTGTCAATCATATTCGCAAAATATGAAAGTAAAAAAAATAAAATCGCATTTTTATATTTTACGAGTCTGATGAAAAACCAGGGCAGACCAAATTACTCAGACCTTTCACCATTCTCTACACATCCAGTTTTCTTGTAATTTATGTACAGTAATTTTGAGGCAGTTGAAGCAACATTTCTTACACTTCAAGAATTTGGGCAAGGAATTGAATTGTGACATGAACTTGATGTTGCTATGAAGAGTAGCATCATTTATCGAATCGTACATTCGTCAATGACATGGTGTTGACAACTAGAAATTGTAATTTTATACCACCAAAAATAATAAAATCACAGTAAGAAAATAGAGATATAAAAGAACACACAAACTTTTTAGATATTTACCTCATTAATAGACTACCTCCTCGTCCGTCGCTAAAGCAATTCACTATGATAGAAGATGTATACAAGAAAAAATCATAGATGCTATTTTTTCCGGCATCTCTCTCTTTTGAATATGATAAAAAAATAAAAAATAAATAAATAAATAAAAAGGTCCACATTCCATTTGAAATGTCAATTTAACTTCAATATTATATTTCAACTAGTTGAGATTTATTCCCTGCAAACGGTAAAATAAAGTTTCACACTCCAAAAGATAAGAATGTCTTCTTATATATCTTGCGGATTTGCACAGTACTGAGCTTTTCATTGTAACTAAAGCAGAATATCTACAATAATCAATTTCCAGCAACATGTCATCAAGCTAGCTTTTTGAAATTATCTCGCAATAATGCTTGCATTAATACTTATCATTAAGTTAAAAATTAAGTACTAACAATTACACTTTCTGCTAAATGCTTGGGAATATAGGATGTGAAATGAAGCCTACTATAGAAAACAAAATGGTACAACCCCTACAATGGGTGGAAAAAATGGCGATTCATCTTCCTGCTTTCAGAAATAACACTTTTTTCGTGTTTCCCTGATTTCGTGACTAATATTCATCCAAGTAAGTGTATAACATATCGTCTTTCTTTGATTTACGTCGACTTAGCAAAGCCTTGAGTAGCCGTTTACTTTTACTGGGGTATTGTTCGATGTCTTTCGGGTTTTCTTTTCCAACACGAACCCGCATTGAAGCTGATTTTCGAGGGTCTGAAAGATACTGGCAGAATAAAACTATACTTTTAAGCAAATAAAACCTTAGTCTTCCAAAAGAAAGATTGAACAAGAAAATTGATAATGAAAAAAACAATTCAACCAGTAAAGAGAGATTCGAGTGATCACCTGTTGTCTTCCAAGCGAAAGATTAGGGGTGGTAGGTCGACTACTATTTGGAGTGCTTGAACGTGAACTTTTTGGTGTAGTTGGCTTACTAGAAAAGGATCCTGAATGTAAGAGAGGAAACCGGTGCGGTGATGCAGCGCGTTTTTCTATTTCATTAACATGAACAACAGAACGCCATTATGAGGGAATGAGAAAATTATCTTGAAAGAGTGGAAAAAGAAGCATTTAAGTTGCCCAGAACAAACCTAAATCTTTCTTGACCATGCTGCCGGATAATAAAAAGTTTCTGGGTTGCTGAGCAACCTTCGAAGAAGGCAGGGTAGAGTGCACTTCACTGAAAAATGAACAAATTAATATCTTTGTGTCTACCAATTTCAAGAAATGAAATTTGATGATTTTCAATACAACTAAAGTAGAACTCACCAGGCTGCAGATGGAGTTTCTCTAACTGTTGCTCGGATAGCTGCAAAAGGAATCAAGCAATGATACATCCAGTTACAAAACATAATTGACAGTGAATAGTAAAAAGTTGTGTGTCAGTAAATAACTTGCTTCATTCCGACTTTTACCAATAAAATAACTGGCTTAATTTAATTATAAAGTGAACTTTTTTAAGTTTAGCCAAACGTGCTACAAAATCAACCCCGAATAGAAGATATAAACAAGCACAGTACCATTCTTAAATTGAAGCAAGTCCTTTTCGTCATCTAGGCTAAATCCTTGGTATTTGGAGTTGGTGCAAACAGCACCGTGCATGGTCTCCCCAACTGCACATAAAAATTGAGTAACTTTCGAATTAATAAGCATCTTCATCTTTGTGAATGGAAAGGGAAACCAATTTACAGATTCAGAAATGTGAAGAATAATTTGACAAAAGATCACAGTTGGTGTTCTTGCCTGGCAAGATATATCGCTTATGGTACTTGGGAGTGTTTATCTTCAGCGACTGCTGAGAAAGGCCTTGACAATCGATGTACTCCTGGCATGTCCGCAGTCTCTATGAAACCACAGAAAAGATATGAAAAATCGATATAAAGTTGATCTTCCATTAAGTCCGAGGAAAGCTCAGAAGAAGCAAAAAAGACCTCTGCATGGAACATCCTAGCTAATGGGAAATCCTCCTTTAACAGTAATGTTACAAACTGTTAATGTGTAGCTAATACTTTAATCAAAACCAAAGTCGAAAAAGAACGAAAATCTTTGGATCATAAACAGCATAGTTCTTCTAAGAAGCTAAGTTAGCCAGAAACTACAAGGGCAATACGTAGACTTGGTCTGCGTGCATACATACAGCAGTAGAAGCAATATAGGGCAAGAGAAGCAATTCATGGAATCTTTTCACCTTCTACTTGCAAATACGAAATGTATATTTCGTCCAAATATAAAGCTTCAAAACGAAAAAGCAAAAATTATCGTCAAAGTATATAACTATTCACTTTATTCACCAATTTTACCTGCTCAATGCAAGAAACCCGGATCTCAGTTCCATAAACTTCATCAACCTTTTCATCCAACAAATCATTGACCTTGTAGGTGACAGAGCCCAAATGGTCCACAGTATTGACAAGAGCTTTAATGGCATAATCTTTCAATGAATTTACAACACTGTTCATTCAAGAATTCAGAGAATAGAAGTTCAAATATATTGAAACAAAGCATTCTTGGTGTAAGGTGTATTCGACAATCTATAACTCACATCTCTTTCTGGTCATCATTACTATAAGACAACTCAAAATATTCTGCAGCTGCATACAATTGTTTCCTGAGATTCTTCAAATCCTAAAGAAAATAAATGTCATAAGATAAAAGTTTCAAAACCATATACTATGAGGAGAGATTCAAAATTAAACTTTTTGCATATAGCTGAAAAATCAATATCCCAAACATAGTGGCAATCAGATACCAACAACATTAGAATGGCCAAATACCAGTGCTACTTGTTCATTTTTTATTTCAGCGTTCTGTTCCTTCTTCCATTTTTCCTTTTTCTTCCTCCAAAAAGGACTTGATAACAACAAGATGTAGGGCCCACATACATACCATTAACCCAATCAGAAGAAATATTTTTCTTCTGTAATGTCACAATAGTGACTAACAATGTTTAATGCAGATTAAGTTTTAACAAAATTACTACAGTCAAAGAAGAATCACCAAAGAGCTAAATTGCAATGCCATAATAAGTTATCACAATAAACTACCTTGAGCCTATCAGAAAAGAGCATGCTCTGCTCCATAGAAACTTCGTCATAATTGGCTGGCTCCCGAGGGACGGGCAGTGAAGCAGTTGGATTCATTGTTCCAAAATTATCAACCATTAGTATAGTTATTTCTATTCAACGATGTATGAAGTAGCAACCAAATAGTAGCTAAGGAATTCCTGTCCTGCAGTAACCATTTCCACCATCATAAAACTCAAGAAATTATGTACCTTATCTTCAGTCTTCAGCAACTTAGGAAACAAAATTGAATAAGTAAAAAGGAAAAGAAAATATCAAATTCCTACTTCTTGTCTTTCCTCATAAATAAATTGGATAGACACGCGGAATCCAACCAAATCTTGAAAAAGTTCAACGACAAACCTAATAGTGTTGTGAAGGTAGAAGACTATACCAATTCAAAAGACAATGAAACAGGATATTGCTTTTCAGAGTAACAAAACTGAAAAACTAAAGAAATTAAGATTCCACAAAGGGAAAAAGGCCATTGTTACCAGAAAACTTGACCAATACACTGCTATTGTTCATCACAAAAGTATATCTCCATACAAAGTTCTCAAATTAGAATACAGTTCCTTAAAGAAATCAAAAGGTAGAATTTTTATTACCAAGTCCTCGATTCACGCCAAAATTAGAAGGGAAACAAAAATTTGTTAACCTCAAACTATTAAGACAAACCCAATATTTTCGCCACCAAAAAAATACCCAAAAAAAAAAGGAACGAATATCAGATTAATCTGGAAATTACCTGAACTTCGAAATTCTGAACTTTCTTTCAGACTCAGAGCAATTAAACAAAAAAAAAAAAACCCACAAAGCATAAATAGCATACTCTGAAAAATTTCAATCCTCTCCAACTGGGGTATACATACCCACCCCAAAAAAAATTTCCTATTCAACTTTGACCAGAGAGAGAAGAAAGGTAAAAGAGACCCATTTAGCGATATTGACCAATTGAGTTCGTTTTCGTACGATGATTTTGACTAAAACAACGAGGTTTAAGGGTTATATGAGGATTCGTAAGAAAGAACAAGAAAAAAGCAAAGGGATTAAGGTAAGCACGTCTGAATGCAATTAATTATGCAATGGAAATTGAAGCATTTTGAGTGAGAGTCCACAACTTTTGGGAGGCAAAAACTGGGTCATCGACTCATGCTGCCAAAATTCTCAATTTCTTCTTTCTAATCATTGCCTGTTGGTGGGTCGCCACTCCCCCGTGAAAATTTGTTCCTTTCTTTAATAATAATCAGTCGAAATATCGAAATTTTGTCATCTTCATTTTTTAATTTTTTTCCCCCAAAACCTAAAACATAAATTTATCGAACTCACAATTTTTACTAAACTAATAAATCGTTCAATAATCATTTTTTATTAAAATCCATTAAAATTTGATTTATTGTAAAAAATAAATATTGTGAGAATTATAGATTTAATATTGTGACCCTTCAACAAAAATGTATAGAAGATACGTAATTAACCAACCAACCAACCTTAATAACATATTCGTTTGCTCCCTTTGATTTCATTTAGGATAAATTGCATACTATATCTCGAACGTTTGATTTCATTTAGGATAAATTGCATACATATAGCATATTCGTCTATCAATTATTTTTTTGATGCAAATACGGAATACCTTATTTAACTACATCACTTTAAATTATAATAAAGGTCCTCAACTTTTTTCTCATATTCTGCACTAATATCTCAAAAAACAAATGGTCACATTTTTATTTTGTAACTTTTAATTAATTAAAACAACTTTCTCTTATTGCGATTTTCATCCAAATATTGAATTAACGTGAAAAAAAAAATAATATATTTTATCGTACTTATATAAATGCTTTTTTTATCTTGCTTATTTAAAAATACGAAGCGCAAATAAATCTTTTTAATTCATTATAATAGATTTTGATCGTCGTAAAAAATAAGATGTGTTATTTGAAAATAAAGTTGAGATTAAAATAAGAAAAAGCAAAAGTTAAGGACTCTAATTACAGTACTTGATTTGTATAAATTCAGTTTAATGACTGCTTAAGACAAAATCATTGCATAATTAAGAAATGAAAATGTTATTTAATTCTAATGAAATTATAACCCCATTCTATACGACATTGAATAATGCTTCTTTTTACCAGGAAGTAAGTGATATAATAAGTGTTGGCAAGATATGATTGAATGGGAAAATTGACGATATTTTAAACGGTTCAATTATAGGTTGTCATGTAGCATTATGTCAACTATTATGTCTATGTAATATGATTGTAAATGATATGCTAAATGAAAAGTATAATTAAATAACTTAGTGTGCCACTATTTCTATTCACACTTTTTATATATACATCAACTTTTAAAAAATAAATTTTGTTATATTTTAAATCCTATTTTAATTTACTTAAATAGACATAAAAATATTTTTAATAAAAATACATAACTCTAAATTGATCCACTAGTTTTTATTATCATTTGTGCTCAATTAGAATCCTAATAGATAGAGAAAAATACATGAATATAATTATAGATGATGGTGGCCCTAAATGTGATTTCTGTGCCGAGAATCATATCGGATTTCGAAGAATGCAAAACAAAATCTGATGTAGTTTTATCAGTTAATCAAGAAAGAAGAATAATTGTAGCCAACAAAGTTAGTAAAATTCAGCTTGCTTAATCAAACTTTCTTCTTTCTTTCTTTCTTTAGCCTTTGTTGTTTGAAACATTATAATACTTAGAACTTCAATAGACAAAGAATTTATTTCATGTTCAATCAGTTCAGCTTTGTTCTTGTTTCATTCATTTGGTTTAAGAGCCTATGGTTTTAGGGATTGGTCAAATCTATATTGATAGAGATGTATTTAAAGTGAGATGAATATATAAAATTCATGTGGATACTTAGTATTTAAATGAATGAATTTAATAAGGACAATATTTGAATATGACGTGGATGTAAATAATATTTTTTTCAATTTTTAAAATTTTATTAGGAATAAACTTAGAGTGTGATGTACTTATAAAAAATGTAGAGGAAAATAGAAGTACCCATAACTTATTTAATTGTAATTATCATTTAACGCCACGTAGACTAAGCTTGAGTTCAGCATTAGTCATAAGAAATATGGGCCCTTAATTTGTTACGTATTTTAAGCCAATAAAAGTGATTAGGAAATAAGTTTGGGAATTTGTCTGATTAATTTAATCAGTGCCGTTAATGGCAAGGGCCCCACAAAAAGACTGGAATAAGTGGCCATTCTTTTCTCATGGGACGACCCAATCATCGTGCTTTACTGTACAATTTAATATATAAAACATAAGTTTTAAGTTCAAAGTACTACTCATTATGAATATTTAGCATTAATTGCATCATTGGGAACTGAAGTTTATTATAAATGTTTATTGAAGTTATTTCTTCACGATACAAATTACTCAAGTTTCTAACTATTATCATTAAAAAAAAATAAAAATTGTGAATTTACTTTACGACTTAAGTAATAAAAAAAAAAAAAAACTGACCAAAATCGTACTCTCATTTAAAAGTGTTTAATCTTAATTCTTAACTCTCCAATTTTGCTGATATGGCGTAATAGTCATTATCTGATGTGATTTTGGCATTTACTGGTGACAAATAGGATTTTGATTTTTTATTTTTTTTTTATTTATTTTTTATCAGAGATCATTAAGAGTTAATTCCACTAATGATCACTAAAGATTGTTTCAAATTTGAAGTTGGTTCTTAAGGGTGCGTTTGAGCCCCATTTTTTGAATAATGTATTTTGTAATAGTGATTTTTCAGAAAATGTGTGGTTAAAAACTGGAGAAAAGTTTAAGTTTACATATAAAATTATTTTATTGAGAAAATATGGGGTTGAAAATGAATTGGAGGAAAGTATTTTTTGACCTCTTGATCACTAAAAGTGAATTAAGTTTATAAAAATAGCCATTCGATAAGTAAAAGTAACTTCCTTTTTGAGGTTGTGCCCATTAAATGCTAATGTGGACTAACGAACATTTAGTTTCTTGTTGGTAATCAAAATTTATATAATATCCATTTTTTTGTGCATTGTAATTTTTAACACTTTGTCTTTCCTCTTCAACCTACTAACTATTTCGAAGCAAATCGAGAAGTAATGCATTTGCACCAAGTTTCCTGTAAGGGTTTAGTAAAACTAAGTAAACACCAGCGTCACTTTAGACTTTACTTTCATAAATAAGTGATCGATTCTAAAATGTCAATTATCATCGACGACTGATTGGATAAAAAAAAAATTTCGAGAATGATATTAATCGATGTTAAAAAAGGAAAAAAAAATAAAAAATAAATAGCAACTCTATCAAACCTATTAATAATTGAGTTGCAATACAAAAAAGGTTGCAATGTTGGAAAAAAAAAAAAAAGTTTCAAAACTTGTGATTTTTTAAAATTTCCTAATTTTGTTACAAGTGGAGTGAACCAATTAATACTTGAGCGAGTCATTTGAATTTAATTTTATTTTTCTTTCCAATAAATTATGAATTAAGGTATAGCACGGGTCAGGTGGGGTTGGAGCCACTTTAAATGCCAACGTGACCAATATTCTTGATGAATTTTCGATGGCTTGGTGAGGTTGGCTTGTACAGAGAAAATGGGGTCTGACACAACGGCCCACTGAGCCCCAACAAATTTTCCAGTACTTTAATTTTCAAGGGAAAAATAAAAAAATAAAAATCTAAATAAGTTTGAGCTACATTATTCCAAAAAAATACATTCTTAAACAGTGATTTGACATCATTTCAACCATACATTCTTCAATAAAATAATATTATACGCTAATCAAAAAAATTTCTTTATTTTTTAACCACACATTTCCCGTCAATACACTATTCAAGAATGCATTATTACCAAAATAATGTGACTCAAACACGTCTCTGCATTTATTTGAAATAGATAATAATTAAATGCAGCAAAGAGTAGAGTTAAATAAAGGTTAGACATCGACTAGTATTACATCCCACAGTGAACATGGAATGTATTTCTCGTGGTTTTGCAATAACATAAGTTCAATCGCTAATATTTTTTTAGAGACATCTTCTAAATCTCACAACATTCATGAAAGGTTCGTCTTTTCTTGTTTGCATCTCCACGGACTCGCCAGCTTGAAGCTCGAAAAAATGTCTGCCTGTCACATAATAATAATGCAGTAAACAAATCATAAGCCAAATTGAATTTCTACAAAAATTGTAAGGAAATCTTGTTTAGCAAATGACTAGGGAAAAAATGGTTCTTGATCGATTTGGACCGTTTCGAGTTGATCCAGGTAGAACTCCATTCATTGTCAACATTTTAATCCAAATCCAGTCATTTTTGCCAATCCGAACTAGATTTTAATAATAATTGATGAAATGAATGGTCTAATTGAAATATTTGATTAAAATGAATTTCAGAAAAATAAACTTTAGAAAATGGAGGTGAACAGGTTTACATTAACTGTACAAATTTTAATACTCACCCAGGAGTTGGAATTCCTGCTGGAGAAATTGAAGAAGCTCCTGCTCTTTTTGCTTATTCTGGTGATCTTCACATTCTTGTCATTCGCAGGAACATCCCTAAGAGAATTTGAAAAGTCAAAACTACCCCTGACTGGCTTTTCATTTTCTGTAGAACTCCCCCACCTCCAAGAACCAAACTTCGTCTTCTCCTTTCTGCTTTTCGACTTCACCCCACCAAAAATCCCTTCCTCGAGGCCCACTAATGGCTCTCGTCTGAACGAAAACGAGCATGTGTTTGACACGGTTTGATCCACATAGGGACCGTCCAAGACTGTTGTTGGTGAGGGCAGAACGGTACTTTTACCAGTATCATGATTTATGGTCAACAACCTTGGGGGCAAGTCTAAGCACCTGGCAGATTTGTACTTAGCTGGTGGAGGTGTGGTGGTGATCGCTTGCTCCGACAATGCTGCGGTGGCTCTTGGCTTTCCCGGCGCCTCTTCCCATTGGAATGGTACTGAAACTGATGTTTGAAGTGGCGGCGTTACCATTTCTTGAGGTTGTCTAGGCTTGCATGGAAGTTTGTACAGATATAACTTCGGTGTTGAGCTTGGCTCATAGTGATCTTCTACTTCTAAACCCATAATAAGATAAATTTTACCTTAACATATCCAAATGCAGCTCCTGTTTTTAATCAGTCTTGAGGTGGTAGGGTGGGTTGGGGGGTGTTGAAGAAAACGCTCCTTACGGTTCAACTTCACGAGTAAAGAAACGGATATGAATAACTAAGGATAATTGCACCATTCGTCCCCAATCTATTTATGAAGTTGGTCTACAACCTTTAAATTGTTGCAAGTTGAAACACAAAATTTCATTACAATTCTACAATCAGTCTCACGACAAAAAAATATCCCATTTCATATTAAATTGCCTAATGGTCATCATATGTCTAACTTTGTTAAGCTATGTTTTACTTCACAACTTTTATCTGAGCAAAATCCATTTCGAAATAGATGCCTATGATTTTGAAATGGTATATAATTTTATGAAAGTCACGTGACAATTTTAATGGAATTTTGGACATTTTGTGTCATTGGGTCTGATTTGCTCATCTTTGAAGATTGGGCTTCAACTCGTTATTAGAACAATAGATTGATAACCAACATTGCAATTTCTGTGACCAACTACTAATTTTTAATGGCTATAATTAACCGTTGATTTCAATATGGGGGCCCCATCCAAAGGTGTAGGAATTGGTCATAAGATCAAGATAACGACCTTCAACGGTATGATACTATGACAAAACAAATGATTGAGGCTTTAGTTGGGACTGCACATGGAATTCAAGACGTCGGATGCTTAGATTGGGAGAAAACTTCAAAGTTTGATGATCAAGATTAAGCCGGCAATTATCTTATCAATTTAATATGACTCGGGGGAGAAAAATAAGAAATTTGAGATCGATTATTGTCATCAGCATCCTATAGACAAGAAAATATCACGACGTCTTTGAAAAAAATCGGGTGAATTTGAAAATTTTAAATATATGTAGCAAGAAAGTTAAGCACGATTTCTAGTTAAAAGAACATGTTGTACGTTCATATAGTGGTTCAGAGGACAAGATGATCAATATCTAATTTTATGGTTATTAATACAAATTAAATTAAGCCTAAGCTTGCACGTAGCATATTGAAGACACAACCTTAATTTTGACTATTATGTATTTTAAGCACACAATGCTTTCTAAAATTACTAGTTAAAGATCTTCAAGAAATCAGAATTAGCACCATGCATGAAAATTTAAATTTAAGATGAAAATAAAAATAAAAATGGAATAAGAAATGACATACTTTTGCGTTCCTCTTTATTTTTTGAAGATAATTTACAGTATGCATAGTTTTTAAGATTATTTTCTCTATATAGATTTACATGCTCTGTCGCTTGTGCAACTTTTGCCAGTTTCATTCTCGTGAAAGTAGCTCCAAGACAAGGTACAAAAATAGGGGTTCAAAATAACAAATATGAACCAAAAATCAAAATTTTTTTATTATTATTTTTTGGACAATAGTACCGATTTCAAAAGACAATGAAGCTCAATCTTGCACCACATTGGGATTTTCAATGGCTTCCTTCAAATTGTACATTGTTATGCATTTCTTACACTTCTTAAAAGTTTCTTTTCATCAATCTATCACTAATCTCGAGGGGCTCTAAGGAGGGCTTGTCACTAGTTCTGAAGCTGGTGATCAATGAAAACTCATACAATGAAAATCGTGATGGCTTGCCACCAACCGAAAACCATATTTTATATTCTTTTTGGGTCACAATCATCCTCACGACAAGTTGGTGGAATAGCTAAGCTAAAAACAAAATTGTATTATTATTTCTCGGTAAACATCACCCGACTTCTTCCAAACATAGTGATGATTCTGAATGCAATATTGTGATTATTTGCCTTTACTTCTATTTTCAATGAGCTAGGTTTTGTGACCCAATTTCGATTAAGGTACGTGTGTTTTGGAGTATTGGGCTTGAAGACATCAAAATAAGGTTCAAGAGGAAAACAGTTTTGACGACATCGAAATAACGCTTGCCTACCATTCAAGCGGTAGGGCGATATTTGGAGCTGTTTAAAAATTACACCGATAATTGTGCATATTATATTCACAATAAACATATCATTTATTTGCATGAAATCGAAACGTATTCCAACTTACTGAAATTGGATTTAATAAGGCAAAATGAGAATTTACCGATTCCGAAGAATATGAATGTGGAACCTTCTCTTTCGATTTTTGAACGATTGAACCTTGCAATATAAATAAATAAATTAGATTAATCATTTTATGAAATCAAATCATAATAAAAGGAAATCAGAAAATGAGGATGAAGATACAAGTGATGAATTTTTGGCTGAGGTAAGTGTTGGACACTTTGTCCTTAAGATGAATTTGCCCCGCATCGGTGCTAACGATTTTCCGGCAATCATCTCCCAAGATACAACGGCCACGTCGAGCCATAGGAGCACTCCAAATGACTTCGACCAGGGAACTCGAACGGAATTCCTTCTCTACCATGACCATGATCGTGACTTTGATGCAAATATTTTATGCAAAACCAAAGTGTAAATTGGAATTAAATGATATGGTATCTATGACTTTTCTTGAATGAATAAAATTCAAACATATGGGGTCTATATATATAGTAGTTGGAAAGGTATGTCAAAAGACACAACTATACCAATAGACACATCTCTTGAAATTCATAATTATTGGACATTAATCATACCCATACCAAGAGTCATGATCTTTCATACGAAAAGCTACATTTTTTCCTCCATATATTTCTAGAATATTCCACAATATTCTATACAATTTTTCCAATAATTTCTAGTATTTAAGCGGTTTACATTTGACTTAATTTCTCATTCACCAAATAACGAATTTCACTTAAATAATCATTTAAAATTGGTCACAACCAATTTTCGATAAAAAAAATCCAACAATCCCCACATGAATTGAAAATGAATGCAAATATCTATGCAGACACTAGTAGAGAGAGCTGCAAAACACTGCATTAGATAAGGTAGCTTCTGGCTTTGAACATTCCTTAGTGAAATACCATTGGATTTACTAGCTAATTGGTGAACGTGATATTCTTGAACCATCAGCCGTTGGTGTAAACCAAAACAATAGTACTCACACAATATCTCCCCTAAACCGTCCATGGTTCTCATGACTTGGTTCTTTTTTGCCCTGAACCCATCTTGGTTATGCGAGTGTTTAGAGAACTCAAGCCTTGAATAATCCTCATTGAAGCGGCCCCACTTCACACTTATATAGGTGATCTCCCATTAAGAGTACTCTGTCCTACTCCACTTGACTTAATCAAGATATAGGAATTATTAAAAGTTTATATTAACCTCCAACCACTTTGCAGAAAGCACTTTGGTATCATAGGAATGAGTTAGGAAATTAGTTTCCTAAGTGCTTCGTGGAATCCTCATAACTTAGTTGTCCCTTTGAACCAAGATCTTGGGATCTCCAGTCAACAAGGTAGGGTTACCATCATAAGGACTCTTACTCAGTAGGCTTAATCTCATTCCCTTCGATATGCAGTATACTTGATCTCTTGGTAAACATATATATAAATGGATCCATAAGTTTACGCCAATGAGATCAACTGCTTATGGTATTATGTCTACGACTTACACATCTAGACTGACCATTACATGTGACTTAGTATCTTTTCAAATTTAGCTAGCCAACGATCGATTCATTTGATTGATACACATTGTCACCACCAAGAAATCCTCTCATGAAGCTACCTACTTCTCATTAGCTTTATTTAAGCTTTATCAATTCCAAATAATTTTGGAGGACTTCTATCAAATCCTTACACTAATCTATCATATTTACTAGTGGATTTCATACATGGGTATTCAATATCATCATTAAAGCATTGCAATGCATTTGAACTTTATAAATATTCTCAAATATTCCAATTGTTCTTCTATCTCCAATCAATTGTCATGATCGGCTTTCATCCCATTTCATCCACTTTAGGGCTTTCATCCATTTTCATCCATAGACTTAGTGTATACCATCGCATCACAATATCCTTCTAATACTGCAGGATATCTTGTGAAATATAATCCATTGGTCATGGTACATTTCAGATACCGAAGGAACCCTATCAATGCCATCCAATTATGGCATGGATTTCTCGTGAATCTACTAAGTTTATTTACATCAAAAGCATTATCCGGTCGAGTGCAGTTCGTAATGTACATTATAATGTCAATTACTTGTGAATATCTCAGTTGTAATACGCTTTCACCCTTATTTTGACCAAGTGTAGACTTGTGTCAATAGAGTTTTCCCGAACTTTCCTCTAATATATCAAACTTTTGAAATATTTTCTCAACATAATGAGATCAGAAAAGTACAATTCATTCCAATGTTCTAGAGATTTTTATTTCTAGTATTACATCTGCCGCATCCATATCTTTCATGTCTAATGCTTCGTAAACATTTTTTTTGACATTTAGCACCACTTCGTGACTATTGCCCATCATCAACATATAGTCTACATATAGATACATAATCGCATAGGCATTATGTGTATTTTCCATGAATACACACTTGTCACATTCATTTATTTTGAACTCATTTGACAACACTGTTTTGTAATCTTTTGGTGCCATTGTTTAGGAGCTTGTTTCAATCCATATAAGGACTCAACAAGTTTACAAACTTTGCGGCTTTCACTTGGAGACACTTTCAGGTTGCTCCATGTATATTTCTTCTTCTAGCTCACCATCTAGGAATCCTATTTTCACATCCATTTGATGAATCTCAAGGTTATGTATTGCCACAGCTGCAATTAGTAACCTTATCGAAGTGATTCTAGTCACGGGTGAGTAGTTAAAGAAGTAAAATCATTCTTCCTGCCCATATCCTTTAGCAACTAATCTAGCCTTATATTTGTCAATGAATCCATCAGATTTTAATCCATTTACACCCTAAGGCTTATTTTCGGGAGGTACATCTACCAATTCTCATGTATGAATTTGCATTCTGAAATCTATCTCATTATTGATAGCTTCCTTCCAATGCGGTGCTTCCAAAATAAACATTGCTTTTTCAAAAGTCTTGGGGTCATTTTCTATTATATATGTGAGAAAATTCGGACCAAACGAAGTGAACATTCTAGCCCTCTTACTACGCCTTGGTTT